TGCCTAGGACTAGGGAGAGCACGACAGCACCAACTCCTTCAGCACCTCCCATTATCTCCTCCCCGACTAGTCCGACCCCCGAGTGTGGTAAGACCTCAACCTTCAACAAGTTAGACGACACGCACCATCGGTCTATGTCGGAGAGGATAGTAGAAGGGTTAGGCGACCGTGAGCCAGGCCCATCCATGAAAAATCTTAGGGACAGTGTCTCGTACAACGGTCTGGCCCCGCATTTACAAAGGGAAGGGCAAGCTGCATAAAGAGGATGCACACCAGCAGATCAACCAGACACATGTGACCCACGTCCAGACACAACATGGAGTCCTTACGGCCGCAAAAGATCCCCCAGGATGAGATAATAGCCCAGCTGGAGAGGCGGCTGGCCAGATGGAAGCAATACAGCTAGCGGGTGGAGCGCCGACCAATGTATCTCTTGACCCGACTATATCGCCCTCTTGCACAAAGTCAGCACCATGGAGAAACGGCTGGCCGAGGGGCGTGACGAGTCCATCATATAGGTGATGACTAAGACCCTTTTCACTGCCAGGGTACTCTCTGCTCCAATCCTGGACAAATATCGAGGAAACACCATCAAGAGGTGTGACGGCCGATCCGACCCTCTGGAGCATTTCAGCCACTATTAGAACAACATGTTGATGGTGATCGAATGCGTCAGATGAATATCTATGCCGCTGGTTCTTCTCCACCCTCGAGGGCCTGACGTATGAGTGGTTTAACATATTTCACCGGAAGGAAGCGCAAAAAGAAACACTTCTCTCATCTTCTCACCGTCAAACAACAACATGATGAACCACTCCGGATCTTCTTCGAGCGATGGGCAAAGGAAACTGACTAGATTAATACTCCATCAGATATATTTGATCGTTAGCGCGCACCTGACATTTTGATATGAAATAGACACCTTGTTAGAAAATGATTTAACTTTTCGATTTGGTACTCGGACAAACTTTGGCTTTGACTTTGAATCTTAAAAAGGTTAGGTCCCAAAAATGTCAAGTGTAAGCCCTCAAAAGAAATTTCTAAATGTAACTTTTCGAGTCGGGACCTCGAGAACCTTTGTCGAGGCCGGCTTTGAGATCATGTGAAAAAGTTTAAGCTTGTTTTCTCGATCCAGGGCCTCGAGAACCTTTCTTGAGCCCGGTCTCGAGATCCTTTACCGAGCCTCCTTTGAAATCAAATCCCGAAAAAAGCTAAGTACCAAATCTCGAGCCTGTAACCTCGAGAAGCTTTCTCGAGCCTAGGACTTCGAGATCTTTTCTTGAGGGTGCTGTCGTGAACCCTAAACCTGCAATAAAAGAATTTGAACTCCCATATCTCGAATCGGGTCCTCGACAAGTTTTCTCGACCCTGAATTCGAGATTCACACCTGCACAATCATTAGAAAATGGGAAAACACAAAACAATATACTACCTTTGATGGAAAACGTGAGAGCAAAGAGGTGTTGAGGTAAAAGAGAGGAGGAAGACGACCGAATTTCTAAAGCCTGAGCATGTGAGATTTTTGCGAGGGGCGCGTGAATTGATTTTGAAAATACAGATTATTTTAAACAGAAAAGAAATAACACACACACACACAAACGTTGAAAATACTACTTCAAACACACTCCCCACATGTAGATGCATTATTTTAAAATGAAAATCTCCCACTCAACTCACGCATGGAGAAATGGATAAAATAAAACTTAAAACCATACAAAAAAATGAAAAATGCAAAGAAATAAGGATTGATGTTCAATATTCCCAGTTTATAGATAAAAAAGTTGAGTCTATTTTCTTTTAGCGCCTTTGTGAAAAAATCTGCCAGCTAAAATTCATTAGACACGAAGTACATGTCCACAGTGCCTTTTTCAACGTGATCCGTTATAAAATGATAACTAAGATTAATGTGCTTCGTTATTGAGTGGTACACTAGATTGCATGTGATGACTATGGTGCTCTGAGAGTCGTTGTATATGGGAATGTGGGAAAATGTGAAGTCGTAGTCCTTTAGTTGGCTTCTGATCCATATGATTTGTGAACAACAATTAGCGGTTGCGACATGTTTTGCCTCGGCCGTAGAGGTGGACACACAGTTTTATTTCTTGGAGGACCAATAGACTACCTTATCTCCTAAGAATTGAGCACTGCCCGATATGATTTTATCATCCATTTTAATGCGCTTCCCACCAGGATCTTCGTTTCCCGCCATGGGATGGGGACGTTTGTCCCCAAAGGCCGGGCTTATGTCTCATGTTAGAGTCCTGATCCTCTGCTGAGGGGAGGGGACGTTCATCCCCATGTACTTGGCTGTCGTTGATCTACTCTTGGACTGTCATTAGTATCCTGTCACGAGGTGGGGACGTCCGTCTCTATGTACCTTGTGGGAATCTTGGGCCTGGATGCCTTGATATCTGCTTGATAATTGGTTACGTGCGTCTCCTGGCTCTTGAGCCCGAAGCTTGGCTTTCTTCTTGGGATTTTAGTAGGACGTTCGTAGGAGATTCTTGTGGGCCTTCTGGGGACGTTCGTATGAGGTCTTTAAGGGTTGATGGGCCGGCCCATATCGGGCCATTAACCCAACAATATTTAATATACCTGCTCGAATTTATCGAAATATCTTACTGTCTTAGATTGATCAAGCCATCCAACTTCATCTTAAACACTCGACACATTATATCAGGATGATCTTCAGGATTCAAACTCCTTACAGAAAGGAATCTATTAATTCATATTCAAATTCCTTTAAGTATATATATAACTCGTAAGATATTAAAAAGGCAATAGACACTAGCTTTACCTCCTCTTCATTAAGAACACCTTTACCCTTTTTCCTAGCACTAGATGATGGATAATTGATACCCATATTGTATAATGTAGGAGAGATTGAACAAGAAAGGAGAAAGAGATGAGTAGTGTATTATGAGTGAGTTTGTGACTTAGGTTTACAAGGCTCCTATAAGGAGTATATAGGGAAATCCGGGTCTGGGGCTCTAATATAGGCCAACATACCCGGTTACATAAATGGACTAATAGTATAAAATGCTAATCTAGTACATACAATGAATATGTAAACTATACAATAATATAAATGTTGTCTGTTGGTGTATGTGAATCGACGTCCAGGCCCAATAGTCGGTAGGCCGGGGGGTCGGGGTCCATATACTCCATCCGGAGTCCCCCACTCCCTGAGCCGAGAGTACTCGAGGTGAAAGGGAGTAGTCCACAATTGTATCTGCAATGTTCTTCTGTCTTTGGTTTCTTCCTCTTCGGTCGGGGGACCACCACCCTTGTCCATGATGGGGAGGTGCCTCATTAAAAACCTTTACTAGGAAAAAATCCAGTGGGAAAAATCCTAATAAATGGAAAAAGAGTATACCTAGCGCCTCCAACATGAAACAACGAAGGTAAGTTCCCTCCGGCATAATCAATTTTGTCTAGCTCAGCTCCACTTCATCTGACTCAGCCTTCGTTCCTGTTCATGCGTGATATTTTCTCCTCATCTAGAAACTCTGACCCCTCAGTCCCCCAGTCCCCCACTCCTTGAGGCGAGTGGAGGCGAGGTGAAAATGAGTAAAGTCATCTTCGTACCTACACAATTAACATACATATAAATTTTTTCTTGGGGTTTATGTTTCCGATCGCGGAGTTCGTCACTTGAAAAGAGTGGAAATGTGAATTGCTAATATAATGATAAAATACTTAGTAGAGTGGATGTGTGATCCATTCGTAAGCAACGGTCGCCACTCGAGGAATGACTAAGACCGGTCTTCGCGCCCGGCTTGGTCAGGGCTTTGTGCATGAGCTGGGTCAGGGCTTTGTGCTTGATCTGGGTCAGGGCTTTAAATCCTAGTGATGGGTCTCAAATCACAGTCTACTAGGCATTTGATCATAATTGTGTTATAGTTTGACATTCGCTCGATAAAAAGAAATGATTTAAATAAATATAAATAATATGAAAATTAAAGAGTACTTATCTTTTGATGGGCTGAAATATTGGGCTGATAAATAAACTGCCTCGGCCGATCTAGCAATTGGGCCTTTATTCTTTAATGGCCAGCTCCCCTAGCATATTGAACCTAGCCTATGCAGGCAAAAACATTGCAAAGCTTCTGCCCTCCTCAAATCTACAAGTTGCGACCGTCCTTTGATCAATAGAGTAATAGTTAGCGTGCCATTAGCTTCCTGGAATTGGGCTGCCTGAAATAATGACTTGGGCCAGGAGTATAATTTAATTGCTTATAAGCGGCCCACTTAATTGAGTTCTAGCTAGATCATATGTGGTGTGGCCCACTGCTGCCATCCCGGCCGAAAGCTCTCTTGCCTTTCACATGTTATGTGGCCAGTCAACCTTCCTGTTGTTGAAAACATCACAGCCAACCAATCCTCCAACCTACTTCCGCCAGATATGGAGTCGAGAGAGAGCCTAAATTGGAAAGGCCGGAGGAAAGGAGGGCGTCCCCCGATCATGGTCACTATCTGAGAGGGAGAAGAAACACTCGAGGCCTCGATGTCACTGCCGTCTGGGTCGTGAGCAAAGCTCTCAAGCTGTCATTAATAGCGGAAGCTCACAAGGAATGAGATCGACCTGTGTCAGAGGCAAAGAAGCAGCCTGAGGGCTGGCGCGGTGGAAGAGCCAGCTGTCACGGGTGTCCGACGATGTTGTGGTTGCAAGAATGAGCTGGGAGCTGCGAATTGACGAAGTAAGTAACAGAGGGACCAGTGGGCGACGCTGTTATAGAGATGGTGGTGTGAGCGTTCTCCGGCTGCCGCTGGGTTGGTCCTGAGCTGCAAACCTCCATCCTTCAGAGTTCCAGATCTCAAACTCCAGAATTTTTTTGCTGATAATTCCAGAATTGTTTTTGCTGATTTTCTGTGATTTGGGTGATATTTTTGTTGTTTTTCAGAGGTTTTCTCACTTGATTGTGTTCAAACCTCTCAACGAGAGCACCATTTGATGGATAATCGATACCCATATCCTATAATTTAGGAGAGATTGAACAAGAAGGAGAAAGAGATGTATGTGTATTGCGAATGAATTATGAGTTGAGAGTTAGGGTTTACAAGCCTCCTATAAGGAGTATATATAGGGAAATTCGGGTCTGAGCCTCTAATATGGGCCCAACAGACTCGGTGACATAAATGGACTAATAATATAAAAAGTTAATCTAGTACATACAATGAATCTGTAAACTATACAGTAATATAAATGTTGTCTGCTGGTGTACGTGAATCGTTGTCCAGGTCCAATAGTTGGCAGGCCGGGGGATCGGGGTCCATATACTCCATCACTAGAATTGTCACCATTGTTCAAAGTCGACCCAATCTAAAAGTTGAATATATAGTCCAACGTTTAGTATAGTTTGCCATTTTGTACAAAGGCCAAAACTCTTGTAAAAATACCGTCTCTGTAGTAGTGTCATCCAATGAGAGTTGTTCCTTCTCAATTCCGTACAATGCTAGAACTGTGGCGTCTCATATCAAGGTCACCACACCAAATGACTGTGTGCCCCTGTAGGTATTATCTTCAGCCCTCTTCTTTAATTGAGTTTTGAATAGTCCCTTTTGGTCAATCAAGCTTTCTATATCTTCCGCAAATCGGGTTGGGTCCCCTATTTTCTGTTTTTGTTTACCCCATTTGCATACATCAGTCATAGAATTTTAAATTTAAGTTGGAAAAATTAAATATTGATCAATGCTTACCTTTTCGACCTCAGACATTTGGCCTCCACATGCTTCCCCCAAAATTTCAATACATTCCGGATCCCATAAAATAAAAGTTGCATGATCAGTTTGGCCCAAGATGCAGACGCTGACCTTGTACCTAAAATATTTACAAAACATCTTTCATTTAAATGAATTTATACAAATTCATTATAAACAAATAGATACAATTTCCTCACTGATACGCTCCCTCTGCAAGTGTTACATTGCATGTGGATCACTTGAACCTTCCTTCCTCCGTAATCAGTTTTTTGTTTCATGTCGGGCAGCTTAGGAAACACCATTTTCTAAAGTTCTTGATAGACACAAAGTCTCCGAGGATCCAGTACACCTCATCCTATGTTGTGATAAGGTATTTGAAATAATTGATATAGTTTTGGTTAGATAAAATATATTTTCGCATATCAAATATTATAGTAAATGTTTGAAGGTGTAGAGACACATGTGTAGCATTAAGCAAATCATGAATAGTTGTTATTATAGCCTGCCCACCGAGGACATCATCCCTGCTCCCTTCACCCTGTGAGGTTTGTGAGAGGGTTGTGATAGTGACGTCATCACCATCAGCTTGAAACCTCTAACATGGTTACACAGTTTGATGTAAGTTGACATTTATTAATCAGTAGCTCTTCTCAAAAATTAATTAACTGAGATTCATACTCGCTTTGGAATTCAACAAACTTGGATGAGTTGCCATTGATGATCAGTTTCGACACATCAAACGAAGATGACACATATAGGGTACCTGATATTTTAAAAAACCTTATAAGAAATAATAAAAATTTATTAAACTTAGAATTGTATAAGAAAATAGGCATCACCTTGGTATCTCTTGGGCATGCAGAGCTGAAATATTACAAAAAAAAGGTACACCAACATTCTGATTTACGTAATCCATATACTGGGTTTTGTGTTTGTTCCATAGGACACATCCAAGTCTGTTACCTCTGCCATTTATAGAAGTTGTGCAAAATTAGATTTCAGAATCTCAACCAATACATATCATGTTACCAAATTAAGATAGAATAGGATTTTCGAAAAATATACTCACTTAGGGTCTGTGAAGGTTAGCTCCACCAGCCTTTCAGTTTTACCATTTATGATGTGGGTTTGAACAATGCTTTTACTTATGACCTTCCATATGACATCTAAAATAGGCGAGCATAATAAGTCATTCTTAATAGTTTTATTAAGTTCAAATGTAAAATATATTTCATTTACTAACCAATAAGATTTTTGTTATTAATGACTATTTGAGCATGAAGCATTTCAAAAGGTTGGAAGTCATAAACCAACATTGGCAATTCGGTCCTAGTATCTTCCCTGAACCGTGTTTTGCTGATAAACTGTATCAGGTAGGGATGGGTTGTGGTCTTAACTGTTTGGTAATTGTCAAGAACCAAAAAAATGCCTCAGAGCATAGATTTTATGTTTCTCTATCATAGACATGTAAGAATCCAGTTGTGGTCTCTTTATTATTGCGTGAATCTGGTCTCCCTATAACAAAACAAATCAATGTTAACAACGAAAACGTATTGTTCACAACTTGTTTGTGTTTACAATTTGAATAAACATTACCTGATCATCATGCAACACCATCTCCATCGTCTCCACTCCCTTAGAATGAGGAGGAACCTTGTAAGATCTCACTACCCTAACCTTCAGAGCTCAAGTGGATTTGGTGTGATCAATGTCCTTGATCAAAGACTACATCCCTATTTGTGTTGATGAACCTGCCAATAATTTGAATTTGTATAGCTTGGTTGTGGTGTTTGTGGTGATGATGTTCAACCCATTGTGTGAGTATTTATAGGGGCATAAGGTAGTGTGTTATGATGCAAATGGGTATTATCCAATGGTTAAATTCATATTCAATCTTTACATAAGATTTTGTAGTACAAAAATTTGTGATCGTGAGCAGGCTTTAAAAACATATTGATCGACAAAGCCTCTGAATATTGGAGGCTTGATATTTTCTATTAAACAATGCATTGAATGGTTGTGAAGTACATTATCATGAGCCACTAAAGCTGACTTATACAGCTCTTTAATGATGTTTTGTGAGTCACTAAAACTGCAACACTAGATGTTCAAGCCAGCATTAATTGCATCTCGGTTGGACCACATATCTCCCATGTGCTCGACCCACTTTAGACCCGACCAGACCCAAATGGAAGTTGTGTTTGGGCGGGAACACTGTTCAGGATTTCTCCTGCTTTTGTATAATAGAAGATTTATGTGTATTTTACAACCATAAAAGTCTTGTATGATTGATATGATCCTTCTAAGTCTGAATTGATTTGTGATGGAAACAAGTCCAATTAAACATACCATTACCCTACTTGGGCCTATAATTTTGAACTTAAATTTGGGGTGAAAAGCTATCATTAGACTAAAGTGTTTTTTTTTTTTTGAAAAAAAAACTACACTTCAGTCTAATACTACCTCCCTCCCTCTAACATTTTTTAACCCGGAAGGCAAATCACCAAAATTAGTGGGATTAAGGCATTAGCCATATTTTATTAAAATAATTAAGGAGTACATTTATAGAGGGGGACTAGGCCAAAACCTCTCCAAAGAGGCATTCCTCTTCGAAATACAATAACACAAAGATAAATAAGAAATAAAATAAAAAATACTGGGGGGGGGGCTAGACCTTACCCAGTAAAAGTACAATAAAAGGCAAAAATTAAACATACCTAAAAAAACTAAGACCAAGTTTATCAGCAATAATTAATCTACGAATAAAACCTAGAACGTTTTTAACACTAGGCAGCTTAGTAAACTCACCGCAATTCAAGCGTGAAATAAAATGTGCTGGCCGATTCGCTTCTCTCAATACATGTCCGAAGATAAGGCTTCCTACAACCATCCATCTTCTCCATTCATCCGGAATACCTATCCCCAAATTATCTCCAAGGATAGCCTGAATCACTCCTATAGAATCCGATTCCACCTCCCTCCCACTAACATTGGGATATAAAGAGGTGACATCGTTATTAAGAAAAATGAGTCTATGTGATTGATATTTAATTGATAAAGTAAGAATGCTTTAGAACCACAAAAACTTTACGAAATTTGGTATGAGGGAATCTTATTGGGACGGAACAGAACGGATAGATAAGACAATCTTAGCGGGACGGATAGAGTAATGAAGTGTAGTTCTCAATTGGAATTTAAACAACCACAAGAACAATTAATTTAATGTTACAACATACAGAAAGACCAGAAAATGATTTCTTGTTATGATGTATGCAACAAAAAATATAGAGAAATAATAATAATACAATAACACATTAATTGAATTATAATGAATGTAAACAGAGTATACTATGTGGTGCAAGATCGACTACTATGTGGTGCGTGAGCGTTCCGATTTTAATCTAGAACAGAACAGATTAATTCTGAAAATTTCCAAACCAATTATAAACATCATTAAAAAAATCATATTCTTAGTAAATGATTTGCGATGTTTTTAATAACAGGACTTAAATTTTCTCATCTGATCTCATCCGGTATGTTTAAGTCCGATTTGGTTTGGTCACCGATAATCAGATATAAAATTTGTGTCCTAAATATTTTTAATAGAGAACAACCTCGTATAATTTTCATACTTTATATAATTTCGTTTTAAAAAATCATCGGTCAAACTTGATATTCATTATATTAAAAAGTCAATATGATAAAGTTTTATGAAACTGGGTAGTATAAGATTAGGAATTAATTGGATTATTAATTTGGTTTTAAAAAATAAACACTGAATAAAAGATGTGTAAGTTGATGTTATTTGTTCAAGTTTTTCAAGGGGCGTATAAGCGGTATATCATGCCACTACTACTGCGTAATACTATGAATTATACTACTAGTATATTTTTAACTTGATAATTATAAAGCCTAATACGCATTATTTTTGCAGGCATGAACCGTATAACGTGCTCAGCGAAGAGCACGTAACGTGCTTAGTAAAATTATCGTGTAAATAAGCACGTGATAGGATTTGTTAGGAACTCACTTGGATATCCAAGACAATTAAGTTTGGATCCTCTCCGGTAACCGGATACTTCCGATTGGAGAGAGATAGAGAAGAGGGAAATTATGGTGAGGTATGTTAATGAGTAAGATAGAGAAAAAAGGAAATGGAGGGGAAATGGAGAGGAGTTGGACTATTCGGCTTCATAGTAGAGTTCTTGGACGTTCTATGGCAACTCATTTTATGCTTCAGAATGTAAAAAAAATGTAGATGTTGTCGTAGATAAGACTACAGTTTGTCTCAAAAGCACAAATATGACTTTTTTTAAAAAATAATAAAATTAGTAAAACCTCATAAAAATATGGATACTTTTCCCACCGCCTCCCAGCATCACCATCTCTGAATATCAACAAAATTGCATTATTATTGTTGATAATGTCAAAATTTTCGTTGAATGTGTCATTATTATGGCATTACTAAAACAATTGGCATTTTTTCTCCGGTGATCGGAGCTAGTGGTGCTGAGGGTGGCAGAAACGACTTTTTTTTTATGTTTTTGTTTTTTTTATATTTTTAATTTGATATAATTTTATTGAAATTTTTATTTTATAAATATTTTGTTAATTTTTTATAATTTTTTACAATTTTATGAGTTTTTACGAGTTTATTATGAATTAAAAACATTTCAAAAGTTACAAAGGTACATCTGTTGAAACACATATACATAGTCATATCGGAGGAATTTAATGCAATATAGTGCTATTTGTGATTTTGGCTCTCTTTTAGTCCTATTAGGTAATTCACTCAAAAAAAAGTAGAGTTAGGATGTAGTTTTGATCCACATAATTCAGTGCTCGTAGAATGTTAAGTAGTATATTTGAAATAATACTTTTTTTGTACATACCATTCTAACTCGGATGTGTACCATTCGTGCAGGCTGTTAACTCCAAGTTAATTATAAAATGTCTACTTTTAATTGTTAAGGGTAACTTTATATGCATTTTATTTAATGTTCGAATGTTTATAGCTACAATTAGTTTAAAATGAATACCGATTAATTGTTGCCACTTTCAACAGGCGATTTTAAAATGATTAAATCCCGTTGTTGTAAACTAAAAATTAAAAATTGCTTTTAATTACTCTAAATTAGAAAAATTCAAAGTTTATTAATAATTTCAAGATTACAATCTATCTGTGGAAAAATGACCAAAAATTCCCACCCAAAGATACGGGTCAAAAGTGCGTCAAAAACGGGTTGGGTTCTATTGCAGTCGTAAAGCCATAGCCTGCCGTCCTATAGTGTTTGAAGCCGTATAGTTGCATTGGAAATGCAATCTTTTAGGTCTATGCTCTGTTGGATAAACCAACTGGGGCATTTAATATACGTAGTACGGAGTATATAATGCAAGAGATGGAAAATATCTACTCCGTATCAATTGACTAATACTACAGTCAAAAAGCAGAGTTGTCCTATCAAGTAGAAGCGGTAAAAGATGGTAAATTATACCGTGCAACCGGCGCACCATGAGGATGGTGTGCCCGGTTGCAAAACGACGCACCTTATGCCTAGTTTTTTTTTTTGTAGTTAAAAAATGATAATAATTTTTTTATTTTTGATCCGATTTTTATAAAATTTATATCAACATTTTTTATTTTTCATGATCTTTCAAATGAGACCAATATTGCTTACGTAATTTTAAGAAATTATCGAACTATTATATTAATGAGTATTGGATTATAAGGAAAATCGAATCTGTTTGGGAGATGATAGGTTTGTGAAATAGAAGATCGAATCTGTTTGGGAGTGAATCAGTGGCCTCAGTTACATTTGATAATACATTGAGTTACATCTTTTTATAAGCGAGTTACATCTTTTTATAAGCAAGTTACATCTTTTTATAAGCGAGTTCCATCTTTTTATAAGCAAGTTACATCTTTTTATAAGCGAGTTACATATATATACACACAAGTTGCATTTGACATGCCTGAACGCGACTTACATATATTTACACGTAAAGTTACATATTTTTACACGTAAAGTTACATATTTATACACGCGAGTTACATATTTATACACACGAGTTGCATTTGACCTGTCTGAACGCGAGTTACATATTTTTTACGTAAAGTTACATATTGTTACACGTAGAGATACATATTTATACACACGAGTTGCATTTGGCCTGACTGAACGTGAGTTACATATTTTAACACGTAAAGTTACATATTTTACACGCAAATGTTAATATGCTAAAATTACATAGGCAATATTGGTCTCATTTGAAAGATCATGAAAAATAAAAAATGTTGATATAAATTTTATAAAAATCGGATCAAAAATAAAAACGTTATTACCATTTTTTTAAAAAAAGAGAAAATAATATCCAATGGGTGCATGGTGCTCACCATGCACCCGTTGCACGGTATACACACTCGTAAAAGAAATACTCTATGAGTTTGATGGAATTATAGGATTAGGCCTAGAACCTAATCGGTCGAAAACCCAAACTTGAACCATCAGGCCCAAGCCCGACGATCTAGAGCTCGAGTCGGCCCAATTGATCAGGCCCATCAAGGAGCGGAAGCCCAAGACGGCCTGCCTTCCAGCCTAGCCAACAGTCTACCTCCAACCCAGCTAGGAGCCTGCCTTGCAGCCTAGCCAGCAACCTGCCTACAGCCCAACAGGGAGCCTGCCTTCCAGTCCAGTGAGGAGCCTGCCTTTCAGCCCGACCAGGAGCCTGTCCTCCAGCCGAGTGGGGAGCCTGCCCTCCAGCCCAGCCAAGAGCCTGTCGACCAGCCCAGCTAGGAGCCTGCCTTCCAGCTCAGCCAGGAGTCTGCGGTCCAGCCCAGGTGGGAGCCTGCCTTTCAGCCCGGCC